AACTCTTGATAAACCGGTTCATCCATCATTATGAACTAACTTAACGTTTACGAATTCATAGACTGTGTTAATGCCAWTAACTATTGTAAAACAAAAGTTTATCCTGTACAAAGCCCTTAAAAAATATTCCTTTCTCCTTGACGCTCAAAAGGAAATTAGCRACAATTCAACTGAAAGGCTTTCGTCATCAAATCAACTGAATCAATTCCAAAGTGTACTCTTGAGCACTGACATTTACTTGGCTCCAACGGCTCTGCTCACAATCATGATCTAATAAATAAACAGCTTGAAGTCRTAAACTCGTGAATAAGTGTGACTTTATTTCTTTTGCTTTTAGCTTTGAATATGCATCGGAAGTTTCTCGAAAGATTTAAGAAAATTCTTATATATGTTACAGATAACAAACCGCAGTACGTGTTGAAGCTCTTACGTGTTGGTCGATTGACATCACAAGGCTAACAAGCTAAGTGACAACAGATCTAACAAACAGAATCAAACTGGATCAAACTCCTTCAAACCAAACAGCCTACAGAAATGTTTCACCAAGAGAAAAAACATGCACTGACGGTCGCATTGGCTAGGAGTCTTTCCAAGTAAAGATTGTCATTGAAAAACTCGGCGTTTGAAGCGTCCAGCAAAGGGTGAGTACATAAGTCCAGCAGTCTGTCTAGCTTCAAAAAAAWTTTTTTTCCCACAAATGGATTAGTACTGCTTTACATRAGTCCAGCAGTCTGTCTAGCTTCAAAWWWWTTTTTTYCCACAAATGGATTAGTGCTGCTTTATACAGGGACAAGGGTTTTGACGAAAAGCCTAAGGCAAGATYATTGAATACAATAAGATTAAGGTAAATTAAACTACATCTCAAAAGTCAGAAATGCTTTAATCGTTCTCCAGTTAAGTAGCGATCAGTGTTCTGTGCTTACTTGTTAGTCATTATTATGACAAATTTTTGTCTTCCTTTGAGACCACTAATACCTGTTCTTGGTATTCTTGCTATTTTTAGGTAGCAAGTGGTTCCTCAAATTTTTATCGTAATCTTCAAAATATTTAAAAATAAATTTGCAAATCAGAGGGCACAAATAAAGTTCGATTCTATTCTATTCTATTCTTGGGTGACGAAATGCTGCTGCTCCAACTGTAGGGCTTAGCCATTCATTTATTAGTTACCTGTTTGATTTTTYTTTTWAATTTTAGTTGGARCCGGACTATACTTTAGGTGAAATGTCACCTGTCTAGTTCTCCGCAACAGTTTAACTGTTGGAAGTTTAATGAATAAAAGATAAAAAATGAAAAATAAAAAAGAGCCAAAAGAGTATAACTAACTGTAAAATATGTCGATCTATTTACAAAGACAAGTCACTTGGCTAAAACTCTAGGGCAAGGGTATTTAATAGTATAAAGGTGGAGTATCTTAAAAAGTGAAATATTTTAATCGATTTTTAGTATGTTATGGTCAACGTAGATTTGCCGTTGTGTGCCAAAAACGACAAATTATCTTCCATTCTCAGATCATTTCCACTTCTGCAGAGAATATATATATTTATTATATAATTACCAATGAAATATCTATTTTTCTCTATTTCGAAAAATTGATATCTTCACACGTGAAAATAACATGTTATTTTCACGTGTGAAAATAACACCATTGCGATGGCTATTCAAAAATACACGGAAAGAATTGCCTGAAAAAGCCAAAACATACTTCATTGATAATTATATAATAAACAGAACATTACATGGCCGCTTGAAGATACGAATCTTATCTTCTCGTGTTCAATTCAGATATCTCACTCGTTCGCTGCGTTCACTTGTGAGAGATCTTTTCAACACTCGAAGATAAATTTCGTATCTCCGCGCGCCCATGTAATATCCTCTATATATATATATATATATATCAAATATGATATCAAAAATGATCTGAGATATATTTGAATCTAAAAAAGTTATATCCGCAGAGTAACCTTTCGTATAGGTTTGTCCTTAGATTGTGTATAACACACTGTTAACAATAGGATCCTTATTTTTCGTAATCAGTATACTTGAGCCTTTTCATCAGGTGTTGCTGGCATATTCGCTCGATTCGAAAGTTCATATATGGCTTCCTTAAAAGTCAGCGGCTTCACAGTGGGGTGCATAAAAACGAGTCTGAATTGACATTAATCATTTTCTCCGAATCCATGACAGAGAAAACTGAATACCATGAGATATTTCATTCATTTTGTAATTTCAGTCAGCTATTTTAGGGATTTCCTCCTCGTATTAGCTATTTCCCATAAAGCTTGTATAAATCTTGCATTTTACATCGAAGTGCCATCTTGCGGCTTAAAACCACCAAATTGTTATCTGATCACCGCACGATCATGTTCATGTTTTACCGAAGGTGTGTGACCCTGTTGGTTTGGCACATAGTGTTTAAGATGTAAATACCAAATGCATTCTTGAACAAACCTGAATTCAATCTTGTAAACAAAAATATTGAGAAAATCCAACAATCACCAGTACTGTATTTTGGTAGTTTTRTACAGTAGCGGAGCAATTTAGCATGATCAACGGATTTCCTGGCCTTTTGAGAGAGACCAAGGCTTCGTTTAAACGGTACCTGTGCAAATTTGGAACCGGTTTCCTGTAAACAGAACGTATTTGATACAATTAAAGGGACGGTTTCGCGTAAATGGTATGTACAGGTCAACATTTTGAGGGGTTAAAAATTCGTCTGGTACCTAGTAAACGCAGCCAAGGGTAAGTAATAAAAGTTTGAATCCTTCCCACCTCCCCCCTCAAACGTGAAGTGAAAAGTCGAAAAGAGGTCACCTTAGTTGCGTCATGGGAACTAGAACTGCCTGGTTGACTTAAGCATCCTCTATAAACTTTTTTCATGCATTAATATAATGTAAAGAGTAAGATATGCCACTGCACTGCATGATAGAGCGGCAAAAGCGGCTAAAGGGTCTTTCCTCAATTAGTAACACCACAAGCCACATCTTGTTTTAGCACTAAAACAATGTAACCACATCACGTATTTACGTAAGAATACTCATAATGCACAACCCGCGATTCGAGAAATTTCTTCCATTTGCTCGTCGTATTTTAAACTAAAAAGCTTGACAAAAAAAGSTGTAAATAATTTATTAGTGAGTTATCTTAAAGCGTTTAATTTATTAGTGAGTTGGTTTAAAGCGATATTCTTTTATAATTGCAGATGTCTGGCGCCTTTTATAAAAAGGCCCTGAACGATAATCGCATGATTCATTTATTTCTTGGCATGACTAACATTTCTTCAATCCGCACCGTAAATATGCCAACGGGTAAAAATAAAATTTCGATCTCGAACAGTATATTTAACTCGTTATTTCCATTCATGATCAAGATAGTGTACTTGATAACTACATGATTACATGTCGAATATACGTAAGACTATTTTAGCACTGATTTTTGTTGTTCAATTTGAAACAAAGAAGCTTCATAATTTTCAATAATAAATTTCATAATTTTTACATGTCAACGATTTTATTAAAATATTTTGCGAATTAATGCTTTGGTTAAACTAATAGCAGATATTATAGAGTTATTATACTCTATTACCTTCAAATAGTTGTTTCAAGTCGAGGCATTTGGGTCAAAACAATAAATGTATAGAAAATATAATGGTGTCAWATGCATCAATCGTTTGAAGGTAAAAGAAGGTAACTCTCAAAATATCTTCTATTTTATCTCTGATATGATCTCGTATAGTATTATCTGGTTTAAATAGTCATTTTCTCTTTGGTGAAAAGGAAGCCATGGTTGTCAGATTATTTATCTATGGTCGTCCTTGGTAATTTTTYTTTGCTAGGTATCAAAAGGTGCCGCGACTTTTATTCACCATAATGTATGGTCAATAATGACATTAACAAATTTATGGCTGCGTTTGAGAAACATCTAAGTAATTCGTGTTACTTAATGGAGTCATTAGCTAAAGATTTTTTGTTACTACAAATCCATTAATAAAAGGAAATCATGAAAGCACTTGACAATTCGTCAGGCATTATCAAGTTGTAAGACCGATAGCCGGGTAGTATTAGCCATTCCGAGGTTGAGGAGGAAACTGGGTCGAGTTGGCATTGCAGTGCATTTTGGGGCTGTTCGGGGGACTTCATTAACGCCATCTTGGAAATATATCCCTTAAAATACCCCCAAAATGCATTGCAATGCCAGCTCGACGCAGTTCTATCCTCAACCTTTGAATGGCAAATAGAGCCAGCAACTAATAAGGGTATCTTTACAAGGAAAGAGGGTAACCCATCTAGGATTACCTTAGTAATATGGCTACCCTAGTTTCGATGGGTTTTCTCTTATCTATTGTAAATTTTTTTAACGCACACAGGTTATATTAGTGCTAGGGGTACCCTGTTTGATAGGCTAACCTTTCTTCCCGGTTGACAAATTTACCTATTGTATAACAAATAACTTAATTTTATCTCATGTATTTAGAAATATTTGTTGCCTTTTTAAGCCCTTATATAACAATTAACCTCTTGTATAACAAAATAATTTAGTTTTGCCTCATGTTTTTAAAAACATTAGTTTGCCTAATTCAATCGAGATTTTCAGGTTKTTATAATGCCGTGCGAATTTAAATTATGGCTATGTTTTCAATCGGCACTTTACGTTGTTGTTTTTTTTTTCACGTTCGGTGTCCATCAAAAAACACCGGAAGTTTGCTTCATACAACACTGAATAAAAAAAATCACGCATTTTTACAAATGTACAGAACAAAAACATGTTCCTTTGAATTTTACGATGCMACCTAACCCAACCTCATATCTAGAACAATAGCACGAAGAATTGTGTTTGCATTTGTGGTTCTAAAAGAAGTGGGGTTTGACACTCAGGACCCTATGAGCTAAGTAAAAAACAACGCAGATCGTTTTCTTGTGTCTACCAACTGAAATGCTGCGAATTTTCACATCAGGAGTGTGAATACATCAGCRCCCCGAACACTTAAAGGGTTTTTGGTATCATTAGTAATGATTTTGACTTTCAAAAAAAAACTTTCAGTATTTGTGTAAAAAAAATGAAATTTATTTGTTATGAAGAAACTTCCGTATTATCATCGTATTCTCATGGAAAATATTAATTGACTTCCATAGAACATGTCCGTCCACAAATGGCAGCCGATAACTATCATAATATCTTTAAATTAATGATTTTAGCATAACGGAAAGCTTTCAAATGATAGGTAGTAATGATAACAATGACGTTCCAGAGTTTGAGAGTAAAAGACTGAATTATTGGGAAGCTATAAGAATTTGAAAAATATTAAAACACCAAAACAAGGCATAACTCGAAGTAACTACACCAGTTATAAGTTCCTTGGCATTTTTTTCAGAACAGCAAAACTTTCCAAAAGTGCGTATTTCAGATAGTTTTTTCACATGGCATTCCTAAAATGTTAAAATATATTCATTCTGAAAATTCAACGACGGCATTTATGAAAGGGCCTGACCTCGATTTAATATGATTCTTGTTGACGTAAAGTGTGTGTGCAGCAAAGCAGGCTTGAGATTTGTCTGAATACCCTTTGATTTCTTTTGGGAGGAGTATGAGATGTGCATTTAAAGTTTTTGCGAGAGCAGTACAAAAAATATGCAGTTTTAGGACT